GAATAATAACATTTTCTTGATACAGGTTGCTCTAAGTCACAAAAGTAAAAGACAGCAAGCTCAATATGCAGGCATAGATGGTCCTATCAATCTGTTTCCCTTCCTTTCTCCCTCTTCCCTTCTCTAGCGTCTCCTGCAGTTCCAAGCCGACACGGCAGATGGTGCAGTTGAATCGTCCAGGGAGCCTCAGCACAGTGGCCTCAGAAACCTCTCTACGAGACAGCTGCCCTTAAGCTGCATTCATTGGGACAAACCTACATTCCTTCTCCAACTTGAATCAGATGCGGCAGTGGTCCTGCAGGCGGCAGCAATGGCGGTGTCAACACAAACAGATTTCGCTTCCACACCGAACCGCTCGGAGGTGCTCATGGATGCAAAGTGCGTCGTTTCCTCGTGGAATGATGGTGAAGGAAGGTGTTTGCTGCTCTCCTGCGGGCTTTTGGGCATGCTTCAGAGGCACTTCTTTAGGGGCCAAGCTCATAGAAAATTAGTAGTCTGTCTGGAAGGGAGAGTTTGTTCATTACCTCGGTTTCTTGAAGTTTTCCTTAGCTTTTGGAATCAGAGAGAATGTGCTGGCTGTCCATTTAATGGTCTGTTTGGGTGAAGGAAAGTTGATGTTCTAGGTTGGATACAAGACTGGAAAAGGATATTCAGAGGCATCTTCTTACAGAGGACCATCTTTCCATAACAGCCCTTAGAATATATGAGCTTTAATCCTGTACCTAACTTTCTGGGGTTCCCTCCTCCAAGAAGCTGGGACCAAGGACAAACAAGTGGAGGACTGGGGTCAGGACACTGTGTTGCAGTTGCAGAATATCCAATACAGGAGCTATCACTACAGCTTCATGGCAGAGCCCACAGCGGTAATCTTCCCGGAACAATTCATTTCCATATGATTCCAGCACAGCAGAATGGCTGGGGGCTGCAAGTTGCATTTGAACAGCACTTCTCAACCTTATCAGGTGTAACGCCCCACTTCCATAACGAATACTGTGTAACTCTCCCCTAGGGAGAGGCACGGGTACCACAACTTGTCTATGCACGAATTTAATCTCTCTAATGTCCTTGCAGTAATATAAAGAATAAATGGGCCGGGCGCGGTGGCTCACGCCTGTAATCCCAGCACTTTGGGAGGCCGAGGCGGGTGGATCACGAGGTCAAGAGATCAAGACCATCCTGGTCAACATGGTGAAACCCCGTCTCTACTAAAAATACAAAAAATTAGCTGGGCATGGTGGCGCGTGCCTGTAATCCCAGCTACTTAGGAGGCTGAGGCAGAACTGCCTGAACCCAGGAGGCGGAGGTTGCGGTGAGCCGAGATCGCGCCATTGCACTCCAGACTGGGTAACAAGAGCGAAACTCCATCTCAAAAAAAAAAAAAAAAAAAAAAAAATGAGTGCACTACAAATTAATCCTGTGCCTATAAGCACTAAATTGAATACATTGAAGAGACTTGGTAAAAACAAGTAGTCACTGGCCGGGCATGGTGGCTCAGTCCTATAATTGCAGCACTTTGGGAGACTGAGGTGGGTGGATCTCTTGAGATCATGAGTTCAAGACCAGCGTGGCCAACATGGCAAAACGTCGTCTCTATTAAAAATACAAACATTAGCCAGGCATGGTGGCACACATCATTAGTCCCAGCTACTTGGGAGGCTGAGGCAGGAGAATCACTTGAAACAGGGAGGCAGGTTGCAGTGAGCTGAGATCAGGCCACTGTACTCCAGTCTAGGGCACAGACTGCGACTCTGCCTCAAAAAAAAAAAACCATATTTTTTATTAATTCAGAGATGGCCAAGATTACTATAAAAGTTTGGAAGAAATAAAACATATTTTTTATTAATTCAGAGATGGCCAAGATTACTATAAAAGTTTGGAAGAAATAAAACATATTTTTTATTAATTCAGAGATGGCCAAGATTACTATAAAAGTTTGGAAGAAAGTAATTAAATTTTAGTATAATTCTACACTTTTATTCTGTTGCAGTGTCTCTGCAGTTTAAGGAAACCAAACTGGAAATCATTGCCAATGGATTAAGGATGTGATTTGTGCAAAACAGCTGATGAAAAGCTCTAATCAGTAGATCCTATGCAAAGAAAAAAGACGATAGGCTTATTTTTAAGATTGGTCGAATATACACTTCTATGCTTTAAGCTAAATGAAAATATTTTTTAAGCCAATGTTTGATCCCACAAGGGACTTCTTTTTATTTGTTAAAAACAGTACAACTGCATTTACCACTAATGTTTACATGTGTAACAATAATAGAAAACACAAGAGGTTCCTGGGATGAAGGGAGAATGTAAAGGTCAGTTCAGGGTTGGAGCTAGGTCTTTTCATTCAGTAATTTATTAAGGAGACTTTTAGAACCTTGCCAAAATGATAGATGGCCTGCTTTGATTTCACATTTATGTTTGGCAAAACTACACACACACACACACACACACACACACACACATTTATTTTGTGGCAGAAATTTCTGGACTCCAAGAGATAGAAGCCAGCCAAAGGGGTTTTCTATTGCCGCCTATATTCTCTACCAAAGACCTGCTAGGGAATATTCAGCTATCGCTACATTGCATTTCAGCTGTCTGCTAAGGAAGAATTCAGTTTTAATTTTCTCCCAGGCCCTCCTCCAACCCCAGGCTATTTCTTTTGGCGAATTCATGCCCACAGAGGAACATGAGGAGTTTGCCTGAAACTATTCACTAAAATTTATGGGTGCACCCTAGTGACTGCTCCACACAGAGGAGATGGTCTGGCCCTTTTTAAAATCCCTTCTGGACTTAAATTATCGACTATTGTAATATCTGATCATAATTCTCTTTCTTTTGATATGGGATAATGCAAACATGAAATCGGCAAGTAAGCATAATTGCTGGACATGATAGAGGCTCAGAGACTTGGCAAACATGCCGTTCATCTTCCCCTTGTTGCACTGTGTTCCATCACCTCCTCTACAGATGTGGGACCCCAGCCGTGAACTCCTTGAAGACAAGGTGGAATCTTCAGCGCTAGAGCAGTCCCCACACAGTCCATGTTGTGTATAGGTGGATCAGTTGGATGAATGCACTGCTTTTGTCCAAAAGGACAAAAATACACTCATCGCCATACAGAACAGATTCGAAATATAACCTGTTATCGCATGCTTAACTAAACCCATAGCTTATTCACAAGTGATGGCAGCCCGAGCCATATAGCAAGGCTAGAGAATGTCCAGCCAAGAACGATGCTGTGAGCAACTAAAAGAGAGATGCCAAGACTTCAAAAGACAGGACTTTCCCATTTAAAAAGAAAAAGGCCAGGTCAAGGAGAGGATAAGTATAAAAAGAACGTTCTCCCTATAGGAAACATGGACTAGAACGCTCATAAAGTGCATTGCTTGTAGGCAGGTAGTGGTTCTCAGACTTCACCAAATATCAGAATCCCCTGCAGACTTGTTTCAACACACTATGAGGCCCTTCTCCAGAAATCCAGCTGCACAGGCTTGGGTGGATGCCTGGGAAGCTGCATTTTTTTTTAACAAATTCCCAGGTTTTGCTGATGCTGACATGGAAAGATTATTTGAGAATGCTCTCCTAAGAGATGGTAAAAGCTGAAAACCAAGTTTCTTTTAAGATTTTAAATAATTTTTTTAAATGATACAAATGGATTCTTGTAAAAATTTGTATCATTAGTCTGGGCACGGTGACTCACGCCTGTAATCCCAGCACTTTGGGAGGCCAAGGCGGGCAGATCATGAGGTCGAGAGATCAAGACCGTCCTGGCCAACATGGCAAAACCCCGTCTCTAATAATAATACAAAAATTAGCTGAACGTGGTGGTGCGTACCTGTAGTCCCAGCTACTCGGGAGGCTGAGGCAGGAGCATTGCTTAAACCTGGGAGGCAGAGGTTGCAGTGAGCCACTGCACTCCAGCCTGGCGCCTGACAACAGAGTGAGATTCTGTCTCAAAAAAAAAAGTTGTATCATGAATGTTCTCAAGCATACAAGAAAGTAAAAAGATAAAAAATGCACACAGCATGCATCACCCCACTTCAAAAATACCATTTTACTAGTCTTATTTCATATGTCCCCCATCACCATTTTTTTGCTGAAATACTTTAAAACATATCCCAGACATATCAATCTGTAAACATTTCAGCATTTATTTCTAACAAATAAGCACTCTTTTTAAATGTATTTACGTATTGAGGGAAGCTATGATGTTTGCAGTAAATTGTATATAAGGCTATAAGAGCCAAGGAAAACCGTGTTGCATGGATCCCAGGTTCTGACTGACCCAATGTTATTCTGACTTCTTTTAATTCTCTGCTTCTAGGCCTTTGCTTAGCCTCCTCCCCAACACACACACACACACACACACACACACACACACACCCCACAGCTTGTTAACCCTTCCCACCCATCTCCTCATATCCAAATACATGTCCTTTCCTTCTAGAACCTTCCTCCAGCAGTAACCACTTGTCTCTCTGACACACATCCCAGCCTTACATCTCTCCTGACAGGGATCTGCAATGTTCTGCCTTCTGCTGACCAGGGGATGTTCCCAGAGGATGGCATGAGGAACAGGTTCCAAACAAGCTCAGAACAGCCCATGGTCCTCTCTTCTCTGAAGGACATTAGAGTCCTTCGGGGTTGGAGGTTGGAGGTTGAATCTTCATTTCCAGGGAATGACCCGAATGCCAAACGATTATCCACAACCCTACAAGCTCGGTCAAATTCCGAGTGTAGGGGGCACGTGCTGCAGCTGCGTCTCACTTACTGATGGCGGCCACCGCAGTGCAAACCTGGGAAAACTATGGGAACCGCCGAGCGTTTCCCCCATCACCGCTCATTGAGGCTTTTCAAGGAAGAGCTGGGCGGAAATTGACCAGGCCTGTGGAGGAATCTGCAGGTGGGGCAGGGGCAGTGGGTGACAGGAAGGTGGAAGCAGAAATGCTAAGAAAGCTAAATATTGTGGTTACGTCAGAAATGTGGATTTCTGACCCTTTTAGGAGGAAGAGGATGAGGCTGAGTGTGGCACGGAGGCACGTGAATGCCCGCATGCAGAGGGGATGCTTGAAAATTAAACCACCCATAAAGCAAGGCATTATAAGTGGGCTGTGAGTGTCACCAACACTGATCTGAGCAACAGAGGTCCGGATTTGCTAAGCCTCACGGGTGAGTGAATGAATGATGGGAGTTGGAGGCAAGGAGGTTACCAGAGATTCCTCAGTGCTCTGGGGAGATGTTTTCAAGCCAGCAAAACCAGCCTTGGTAAGATCTGACATCTGAATAGGACAGTGTAAAAACCCACAAAGAGACTTTCGCCTAGTTCTCCTTTTAAGTAAAGTCAGGTGGGCAGGGGCAGGGGGATTCCCATGAGAAAGTTTTATGTTACTTTTGTAGCAGATTATGAATTATACCTTGGAACCACCACAAAACAATTTGAACACAGTGTTTCCTGCATCTGGAATTGCAGGCTGTCAGCCACAGCTTTGCTCACCTCCCTAGCTAAGCCACCTACCTTCTTGTGGGGAAGACAAATCGCCCCCTGTGGTCTTGTTGCCCTGCCTCACCCCTTGAGAACCTTCTTTCTTTTCTTTCCTTCTTTCTTTCTTTTATGTACATTTAGTTCCCACAGGCTTCCTTTATCAATATTTCAATTGGTTGCTGCTGACCTATACTTGAATCCAAATATTTGCCCTATTCAGTATGCATTGTTCATTCAGCCAAATGCTCGATTATGTCTGTGCTCTTTTGAGCAAATTGAATGGGCTACTTGACTATGTAATGCCGATATAGCCTGGTCATTAGTAGTGTTTGTTAGAATTGACCAGATGCAACAAGGAAGGAAAGGGAGGGAAGAAGGAGGTTTGTGTTCGGTTTTCCTTCTAGAACAACCATGGTGAAGAAAGTGAAATTGTGTACTTCCCAGGGCACAGATATAAACTGCCTTCCTGTTCTTCCAAATGGGCCCGTAGTCTAATATGAATCAAATGAGTCGGGGTTCAAAGGAGATGGATACTCCTGAAGGCTCACAAGTTTATATATTCATTGGGAAACTACTCTCTGTAAAATCATGACTGGCCGTCTTATTGTTTAGATCAAGACACAAGAAGTAAAATAACGCTAACTCCAAGCCTTGTTCTTGGTTAATATTACTCCCTGCACTGATTCTATGGCCTTTTTCCCATATTCAAACTAACCTTTTATGAATGTCAAAAGCCACGTCACTGGAAAATTTTTAACTATCATGTGCTGAACTATAATTCACACTTTAGGGGAGGAAAAGCTGTCTCCTCTATCCTCTCATGTTCAGTGACTGGGGCTCTGCAAATTAAAGTTACAAAAGATAGGGCCGTGCGCAGTGGCTCACACCCGTAATCCCAGCACGTTGGGAGGTCGAGGTGAGCAGATCACCTAAGGTCAGGAGTTCGAAACCGGCCTGACTGATATGGCGAAACCCCATCTCTACCAAAACTACAAAAAGTAGCCAGGCATGGTGCTGGGTGCCTGTAATCCCAGCTCCCGGGGAGGCTGAAGCTGGAGAATCGCTTGGACCTGGGAGGTGGCGTTGGTGGTTGCGGTAAGCTGAGATTGCGCCTTTGCACTCTAGCCTGTGTAGCAAGAGCAAAACTCCATCTCAAAAAAAAAAAAAAGTTACAAAAGATATACTAACAGGAAGAAAAAAAGTCTGTTTATGCTTGCAGTGCACATACATGCTAGAGAACTCAGTGATGGGTAACTCAAAAAAGTGGTTATAATCAAGGGTTGTCTATTGTCTTAACAAAGGGTGATGAATTGTGGAGAAGAGGCTAGACAAAGGAAAAGGGTTTGGGGCTTTGGGGGAATGGTAAGTTATGGGAAAGAAACAAAAAAGTATAGTAAATAAAGGTAATTTAGCATGACCCTTATCAGACTCTTATTTCAGCCGGGCACGGTGGCTCACACCTGTAATCCCAGCACTTTGGGAGGCCAAGATGGGTGGATCACCTGAGGTCGGGAGTTCGAGACCAGCCTGACCAGCATGGAGAAACCCCATCTCTACTAAAAAATACAAAAAATTAGCTGGGCATGGTGGTGCATGCCTGTAATTCCAGCTAGTTGGGAGGCTGAGGCAGAAGAATAGCTTGAACCTGGGAGGCAGAGGTTGTGGTGAGCTGAGATCACACCATTGCACTCCAGCCTGGGCAACAAGAGTGAAACGCGGTCTCAAAAAAAGAGTCATCTCAGGTGATACAAATGTCTCAGAGTAGTTCTCTTCTTGTGATGGAAGAGTGAGACACTGTTCCAACTGATATTACCTTTCCAAAGGGAAAATTATGCCCTTTTTGACGGAAATGGAGACAGCAGAGAGCAAATTGCCGTAAGTTCAACATAGTCCTTCCACCGAAAGGGCATATTTGCGGTGCCATCCTCCGATTCTCTTCAATGCAGTAAGTATTTACTGACCACCTATGACATACACAGTACTGAGTTATGTTGTGAAAACCCTTCAGGCACAATAAGAGTTAAAATTTGGCCCTGACCCAAGCACAGAAACCAGTACAGATCCAGGAGAATTTTGCCAGGAACAAGAGTGGCTTTTAAATGCAGATTAATTTTTCCAGTGCCCCGGAGCAGGAAGTGGTAATAAGAAAGTACCTCTGTATTGGCGCTTGCTCTTGAGGAGATCCTATCTTACTGGCAAAGGCAGACATGTAAATAATGTAGAAAAGATGGGAAAGAGAATACTTGGAGCAAGGTACCAAGTGAAGTAATTATGGACCACAAAGAAATAAAACGGAATGTGAATGGAAGTTACCCTTGCCCTCTAGGACTTTACAGCCTGTTAAAGGAGGTAATTTATGGACACAAATAAAGGTATCTAAGGCAGACTGCTTAAAGGAGCAAGTAGCAAGGTGACATGGGCACTTAGGGATAGAAGAGGTCATGTTTCAAGAGCATGTGTATGTCCAGCCCATGTTTTTTAAAGCTCTGCTTGAAGCTCGTGGCTCTGATGCTCCTTCAAGCTCACATCACGTGTATTTTAAGTTTGTCTGAAGAATTTACAAGATTCTTTAAACATCTTTTATATAATTTTTGATTATAACAGGATTTGCTTTGTTTCCCTGCTTCTATTACACTGAGTGCAATGCTCCATTATATAGAAGAGGAATGGGATGGAGGGAAATGGGTATTTATTAAGCACTCGCTGTGTACCAGCCCCAAAACTTGGTAGGCACTTTCAACTTTGTGTCTCATTTATGAAGAAGATTTTCACTTGCTTCTTGGTTCTACTTCATTCAAGATTCCCCATGCCTCGTAATCCTAAGTTCCCCTTCCCGGCAATCCCTGCTCACCTCCCTGTGGGCAGAGGAGGGACCCTGCGCACCTACCACGGTGTCACTCGGACCAGCTCTTGCCTCTGGCTGAGCAGCCTTAGAGCTCCTTCAACTGTCAGCATTACTTGAGTGTTAGGGTTATTTCTAAGATCAGAGGGGTACAAGCCCTGTTCTGACTGTTCTCGAAGCTTGTTTCCACAGAGAGATTCTCCTCCTCCCTTTCCAGGTCTTCTAAAGCTACACTCTCCGAGCCAGATCCACACATCACCATCTCCGGGGACCTGCTGGATGGGCCTCACTCCTATATCATTTGAAAACACTCCCGGCCTTTGTTTCCTCCTAGAATGCATGTTGACCTGAAAAGAGCATGAGCTTCAGGTAAAATTGTGTTGGAATCCAGCTCTGCTGCTTGCACACTGTGCAGCATTGGTAAATCCCTTACCCTCTCCGAGTCTTCGTTTCAACATATGTAAAAACAGGCATAACAATGCCTACCTCACCAAGCTGCTGAAGGGACTAAAAAGGTAATGTGTCAAAGCACACAGCCCAATGCTCAGGGCATAAGTAGTGCCTATTAATATTAATTTTCCTTCTAGTATTAGTTACCCCGCTTTTTGGTGGTAAGAAGCAGATAGATAGATGATAGATAGATAGATAGATAGATAGATAGATAGATAGATAGATGGCTATAAATAGCATGAAAAACATGCATTGCAGAGAAAAACCAGCCATTGCTTTTGGCTCTGTTTTGTCCAAGACAAGGAATAGAAGGAGACTAGCGTTTCTGGACAGGAGACAGGAAAAGGTCTGGAGCTGGAGTTCCTCGCTCACTGTGTTGCATCCGAGCTTACTGTGACCCAGAATGTCAACTCTCTGTGCCTCAGTGTCCTCATCTTTTAAGAGTATAATGATATTACAATACCAGTGGCCTTATAGGACTTCTTGGAGAATTAAGTCGGAAAATATGTGTAAAGCTGTAGTTTAGTGTCTGGTCATAGTGTGTGTTCATTGAATATGTCAGATATTATTTTTATCTAATGCTCATATGTGTCACTGTTATAAATACATCATTTCTCCTTTTTTTGAAATTTGCATATCATATTTATTTACCAACGAGAGATCAAAATAATTGCCTTTTAGCAGTGGGACAGTCACCCTGACATCTGGTGTTCTTTCTGTGGTCAAGAACACCATAGAGTAAAGGCAAGATACTGAAGCAGCCTGGAGATGCGGCATTTGGGATGAAGAGGTGGGGAGGAGAACGGGGTCGGGAGAGAAGAAGGTTTCAAAGGAGTGCCTCGGAAATGTTTTTTCTAATATCTTTCAGTGATCAAATTGTTACTGCTTAAGGATCTTAGGAAGAAAAGGATTATGCAAACAAAAAATAGGCTGGGCACAGTGGCTCACACCTGTAATCACAGCACTTTGGGAGGCAGAGGCAGGCAGATCACTTGAGGCCAGGAGTTTGAGACAAGCCTGGCCAACATGTTGAAACCTCATCTCTACTAAAAATACAAATATTAGCCGGGCCTGGTCCTGTAATCCCAGTCCCTAGGGAGGCTGAGGCACAAGAATCACTTGAAGTCAGGAGGTAGAGGTTGCAGTGAGCCAATATTATACCACTGCACTCCAGCCAGGATACCAGAACAAGACTCTGTCTCAAAAACTAAACTAAAATAAAAATAAAGATAAATATTGCTCTAATAGAACCATATTATATAATTTATGTAATAAATCGCTATATTACCCATAATCATGATGACCGTAAGGCCCGTTACTTATGATGAGGTTAAATAATTAGTTCTAAAAATATTTGTCTAGCCCCCGGATTAGTTTTCTAGGGCTGCTGAAATGAAGAACCACAAACTGAGTGATTTAGAGACAGAAATGTATTATCTCACAATTCTGGGGGCTGCAGGTCCAAAATTGGGGCATTGGCAGGGTCATGCTTCCTCTGAAGATGAAGGGATGGGTCTGTGCTAAGCCTGGCTACTGCCTTCTGGTGGCCTGCGAGCCATCTTTGCTGTGCCATGGTTCATAGATGCATCCCTCCAATTCTCGCTGTGTATCATCACATCGTCTTCTCTCCATGCCCATCTGTCTCTCTGTCCAAATTTTCCCTTATGATAAGGACACTATCATATTGGATTAAAACTTACCTATTCTTTTGGGAGGCCGAGGCAGGTGGATCACGAGGTCAAGTGATCAAGACCATCCTTGCCAACATGGTAAAACCCCGTCTCTAATAAAAATACAAAAATTAGCCGGGCATGGTGGTGCGTGCCTGTAGTCCCAGCTACCTGGTAGGCTAAGGCAGGGGAATTGCTTGAACCCGGGAGGCAGAGGTTGCAGTGAGCCAAGATCCCGCCACTGCACTCCAGCCTGGCGCCTGGCAACAAAACGAGACTCTGTCTCAAAAAAAAAAAAAAAAAGATTTACCTATTTTCATGTGACCTCATCTTAACTACTGTAAAATTACATCTGCAATTACTCTATTTTCAAATAAGGTCACATTCTGAGGTACTGAGGTCAGGACCTAAACATATCTTTTCCGGGGAACAGAAGTCAACTCATAATGGCACCTATTTTCCAATATCCTCCAAGCAAATTGCATTGGAATCATGTGAAATACTTTTCCATATAGCATAATATAATATAATAAACATAACATGATAGAATAGAATAGAACGTTTCTGATTTTAGGACTGAATCATTCTGGTTTATTAATATGAGTGACGTTACAGCAGAAAGTTCTCATTTAAAGAGGGAGCACGTAACTAGATGCTGCACAAATTCCTCTCTTTTAATGCCAGAAGCCCAATGCCTGATCTGTAAACTGCACCACTGGAGTAAGGAAAAGGGCAGTAGGGCTTGCAGTGATGTGTTCATTGCATGTAATACTGCATTTCATGGCTAGTGCTGCCTACATTGTGTGACCGTTGTGTCGTAAAAACAGGAAAGTTCACAGGCCAAGCCAGCTGGTGGGATTCTAACCTTTTGCAGACACACACACACACAACACACACACAAACACACACAACACACACACATACACACACACACAACACACACATACAACACACACACATACACACACACACACACTTTAAAAGGAAAGGAGAAGGTCATTCTGCTTATTGAAGTAAAGGAATTCAGCAACCAACACAAAAGAAACTTCTCCCGAGAAGATTTGCAGAGGAGGCCTGGTGTTTCCCAGCTATTCAATACCTGAATGTGTTTTCATGTTTTCAAGTCAAAAAATAAGGGTCTTGATCAGGAACACACAGGGGAGGGGCCCCTTCAACAATGAGCAAGCCCAGTGAATTTTGACCCGAGGCCAGAAAAATATTGGTTTTCATGTTGGCATGATGGCTTATTTGCTAAAACACGAATGTTATATTCATTAAGGGAGATATTTTGCCTCGCTGATGAAGAAAACATTTTTTGTAAATAACATGTTTGGCTTTGACAAGGATGAAGTTAAATATATGCAGATTATCTGATGAAGTGGCAATGACTCGATGTAGAAAACACGTTTGTTTCCCGCTGCTGGTGTTTTCTAAAATGTCAGAGCTACTTCTACTTGATGTGTGCAGGTTGAATATGCTCATCTTTGTGCAGAAATGCATAGAGTATTTTAATAGTGTGTTTACTATCTACCAGTTTCGAAATAGTTACACTTAAAATATGATCATAGAAGGCATAAATATTCAATACTCTATAAATTCACTAAAAATACAGGAACTGATGCCTCTTAGGGCCCTTCCAAGGTATAGAAGCATTTAGCTTGATTCAGTAAATGATTATTAATACCGTCCTTTCCTCAGTCTCTGAAACTTGCAAGGCACTGTTTATATGTTTGCCCTTGACATGTGTTCTTTTATTTCATCCTCAAACGTGGGTTTTATTGTCCCCTTGAACAAGGAGAAAACTAAGGCTGAGAAGATTAAAGTAACACGATCACGGCAGAGGGGAGATTTAAGCCAGCCTGACCGCACTCTTTCTGTTGAACCTTCATACTGTCTTCTTGGCTGTTTTTGGTTTTGAAAGAAAAGAACGGTATGGTTCTATTTGGTTTTTACTGCGTTTATTCCATCACTGGAAAGCCTTATCTTGCCTAAACCAGACTGAGGTTTAGAAATAAGCATACGTCAGTAGGTCTTTCATATAAGGTATTTCTCTCTGTGTGTCTGTGTGTGTGCGTGTGTGTGCACGCGTGTGTCTTTCTCTCAGCTTGTGCTCAATGATCTAACACGATTTTGGATCCAGAAAGACCTATTTGATTCATTCATGATTCCCTGACATGTGACCCATGTGCTGTATCACATACAGCACATAGTAGAACATAGTCATTGTAGCTAGGATAGCATCGCCTGGTGACGTAGACTGTCTTCTTTATATACAGATTGAGATCAAGCCAATGTAAACACACTTGACCCTCTGGATGTTACCAAAAAAAAAAAGCAGCTCCACCCTCAAAACTCTAAGTATTGTGTTACTCCAGCATACACTAGTGCCTTCTGTCCTGCATTTGCCACTAACGGTGATTTTGAGTAACTCCCTCGGGCCCCTGAGCCTCAGCTTTCTCACATTGGACACTGACTATCTGATTCTCACTTCATAGGATTGTTGTCTCAAATGAGAAAATGTGAGAGAATAATATTTTTAAGGTTAAATCTCCCATGTGTTGTAACTTTAAAAACGATGAGGAATCCTGTGATTGGAGCTCATCGATCTGGTGCTCCCCTGGACAAGGTGTTAGGTCAACCACCCACTTGCTCGGTCTGTGCGCCTCAGGGTTCCTGTCTCCCTAGACACCGTGACATGCGTGGTGCCCTTCAAAACTCATGTTAGAAAGCATGGATAATAAATTATTAAGGGAACAAAGGCCAAGCTCATTGAAAAGCTATTGCTCTGTGGGTAAATACAACCGCACTGTGTATTAAACAAAAATTAAACCCCATTTTCTTTTTATGGAGAAGTTGCCATCAATTCAAATCCCGAGAACAAGGCCCGGGACATAGTTAATAGTCCGCAGCCTGGCCAGCCCCGGCTTTGAAAGCGTGGAAGCCTTCCTGAAGTGCTGCTTGTGTCCAATTACAACTCACTACTTACCATCTTCATAATTTAAATCTGTCTGCCCCTTAGGGGGGGAAATTTTTGCTAATCAAAGCCATGAATGTACCTTTTTCCTTTTGACAGCATTAAATTAAAGCTAAATGGTCGGTTTTGAATGAGTTACTGTGAAGAATAAAGGCATTAATGAGGTAATTTCATTATGGAGACTCATCCAGGCCTATGTGAAAACGGGGGAAGTAAGTGGAAAGGAAAGCTGCTGAGGAAATTAGGGTTCCTTCCACCCTAATTAATGTTTGGGG